AAGAAGAGTCTGGCTCCATCTTCTTTCTTCCCTGCACCAGGTAGATACCTTCCGATGCAGTTGGCTCCCAGCCTCTACTGGTGCACGGGGTTGTTCCTCCCCCGGTGCAGGACTTTGCATTTCCTGTTGCTGAGAGCTGTGACAGGTGCTGTGCTGCTGCTGGTTCTGTTCGGCCTCCTCCCGTGGAAGCCCGTCTGCTTGCTAATGGTGTTAATGATTTCTATTTTCGTAAAGGCTTCTTGCTTGGGTAGGTAGTTCCTGCCTTGTAAAAACTCAAATTAAGAAAAATTGGAACATGAGTTACCTGATCATTATATATCATGTATTTGTTGTTACTACCAGAGAAGAGCCCTTATTCCAATTAGTGCCTAATCGTGGTTTTCACTGTAAAAAAGAAAATCTAGAATAGATTTTTGCTAGCTGCCTTTTTTTTTCTTTGTGTCATCTGACATGTAGTCTTCTTGGTTTGAAATTTCATAGTTACAAATTTAAATATTTTAAAGTGAGTTCATTTTTTCCAATTTTTTTTCTTTGTGCATGTAGTGTAATTCTTAGAAAGCATCTTAAGAAAGAAGAAAGGGCAAAGAACAGACAAGTGATGGTACTACCAATAAAACTACAATAATTTGTGAAATAATAGTAGTTAAGAAATAGCTGGCTAAGCGTCCCTTTGACACTTGTCTGTTCCTTGAAAAGGTGACGAAACTTAGAGGAAAGGCATCCCAATGGCTAACGCTGTGTCCAGAGGGTCAGCCTTTTGCCTTTCTTGGGATGAAGGAGGAGGTAATTTCTGAAATAGGCAGTTTGGTCTCTTATCTTTTGAAAGCTTCCATATGATCTTTTCTATCACTATAGTTACTCCTTTTGTTTATAAACAGTGAAAACACTTTCTTGTTCAGTATTCTGAAAGGTGGGTGGAAGGGAGAAGACTGGCTTTATATTCTACATATTTCTTTATATTCTACAAATTCCAGTAAATTGTCATTTGGAATTTCAGGTGGATTTCCTGCTTTCTTAATTTATTGTTCTTACCTTTACTTATTAGTGGAAAGAGGGAGTATTATACTGCTCCTTCCTACTTCATCTAACTGAAAACCAGCTTTCTGATAAGTCTCAGTCAGGTCGCTGCATTCTACAGCTTCATAGATCAATGTCTTCAGTGATTTATATCTTCTCATTGATTCTAGAAAGCTTGCCATTTCCAGACTGCAGGGTCTGTTTTCATCTGTTGTTTTCTATTGGCTATAGGGCCTATAGTGTTTGATCAAAGGGTTCATTGTCAGTGTACTATTTGTTTGATTTATAGAACAAACTGAATACTTAGAAATAATGGTCAGGGCAGGATGTCATTTTAGATTTGCAAAATACTGTTGGTTTCAGAAAAGCAATGACAGTTTAAACCAGCTTGAGAAGCTTCCGCAATGTGGGACTTGATTGTAAGTTTCTCATTAATTTCCGTGGGAACAAGTCTACAGCGAGCAGCATAATCCTCGTTTCCTTTTACTAAAATTTGAATACTTAATATTTTTATTGTCTCTTTGTTGGCACAGAGCATTAGAGATGTAGATGAGCCTTTACTGTAGAATTATCATCAGGCTGCTGTGTTTGCATCCTCTCATGGTTCAGGCATGTGTCTTAAACTCTTACTGGGCTGGGGACACCAAGAGCTGGGTTGTTGCTTCTTTTGCCTTTTTTTGCCTTTTTTTTTTTTTACCTCTCGAGCTTACTTCCAGAGCACCATTTCCATCTGTTACCTTTTTGTAGAAATGAAACCGCATTGATCAGCAGGATAGCACTTACTCTGCCTTTGCTGGACTTCTGACCTGGAGAGTATTTTGCTATTCAGCTTAAAAACCCAGCCTGCCTTTAATTCTGCAATACGTGAGGCATACAACAGAGACTTTTAGAAGATTCAAAATACGGTCTTTAGTCGAGGTAACACAAGAAGTATAGGAATCTAGGAAAAAAAAGGAATAAGCTGCTCTATGCCATTGTTTGCTACCTTCAGCATGCTCACTCCAGAGCTTTCTGTAGGATTTGATCAACATCATGCAGGAGATGATACACATTTCCTCTTGCAACTCTCTCTCTCTGCTCCTTCCTGCCTCCCCCCAGCAGGCAGCTGCCTTTGGTATTAGCAGATTTTTCATTCTTAAGCAGATTCTGTTGTTCCAAAAGCCTTTGTCATCCTCCCTCTTACTTGACTTGACTTTAAGCACAAAGGGTGTTTAAGAAGCACCTGTTTTCTTTGCTTTCTTGAGTGTGGATTTTCCACTCTACCCTTTCTATATGTCACCCAGATAGGACTGGTTAAAGTGATGGGACAGCGCCCTCAGCAAATTGCATGCCTAAGCACAATTTCTAAGGTTAGTAATTTTTTCCTCTATTCTGCAGCTTTTCCAGGTAGGTGACACATCAGGGACCTTTTTAGCCCATGCCTGAAACACTGAAACTCATTTTTTATTACTCAGTAATAAACTAGTTTTGAAAATATGTGACCTGTACTTAAACACTCAAGCAGGGGTAACAGTAGTAAGTATCTAGAGGTATTCTAGTGCACGTCATAGTAAAACAGGATGTGTATTCTTGATTATGCCACAAGTGTGTGAAGTTTATCCAATTTTGTAATTAGAAGATAAATGGGTTACTTCTTTAGGTGACTGTGATTTACTCTGTGAGACGTTGCATTACTCCCCTTTCTGTGATGAAATGTCATAACCTATGCTTTCTTCTACCTGTCCTTTGAAATTGCTGCCCTCTAGTTTGAGCAGGAAAGTTGTCCCTGTACAGATGTTTATATTTTCTTCCATTGTTAGCCACATCTAATTCATGTCACATTCTCTCCTAAAAATGATTGTTTGTGTTTGAATTACATCAGAGAGATCATAGAATAGAATCATAGAATAGTTTGGGTTGGAAGGGACGTCTAAAGGTCATCTAGTCCAACCCCCCTGCCGTGGGCAGGGACATCTTCAACTAGAT